CTTTAAATGATCTTCTATTGACTCTTGAGACGCATCCTAGTGGAGATATGCATCGTGCAATTCATGATTTATGGCCATTATTCCATAAAGAATATGCTCGACATAGTCTTGAGAATCTGACTAAAAAAGACCCTGTTTGCCAGTTTTTAAGAAAACTAGATGGGAAGCCTATCCCCGACCCATAGAGGGCGTTTAAGCTATTCTTGGATGAAAAACCAAGAAAAGCTGTGAGCCATAATCACAACTACGATTTGAGTCTTAGTTTATAAAAACTTGTGTCTTTTGATTTTATTAATAATATAATATTTATGTTTTGTTGTTTCTTATATTTGTTTAAGTGTGTTTCAGGTTTGTTAGTGTTTGTTATTTCAGGTGATGTCTTTTATACTCTATCTTTCTACCTTAGAACATTAAGAACAATGTCTCATTTTGGTTGGGGGAAGAGGGTAGTAGTTGAAAGCATGTGTAAAATTATTGTTACTAAAATGGTAGAGTAAAAGAGCTCTTTTGTTAAAGTAACTTTTGAGACGCATCTTAGTAATCATTCTTAACAAGGTCTATTATAATACTTCTTGAAATATTCAGGTTTACAAACTCTTGTATTATTATCACTTAATTCTGCTCATATACTCATTTAACATGTATTCTTAAAACTTTATTTTCACACACACACTTTAACATATGATTATGGGTTGCATATTGGATTATTACATTATTTATGTTCTTTTATTAAAGGTAACAACTAAGGAAAATGAATAGTATATAATTTGAAAGAAAAAAAAAAGCAAAAAAAATAATGGTAATAAAAATATAGATAAGTTTGGTTTCGTAGCCTCCCTAACCTAACCAATTAAGCCCAAAGGGGTGTTTTAACACCTAATACCCTAAAGTCAACAGACTTGGGAGCTATTGGTTCAATAGTTGTTACTTGGGTTGAGGAGAAAAACTTAAGGAAATCAAACATTGTACTATCTACGTATCAGTATCGGCAACCCGAGTTACTAAGCTCGCAGGGGTGTCTCAACACCTAATGCCTTAAGACCAACTAGTTTGGGAGTCATTAGCTGAAAGCTCGTTACATGGGTCAAAGATGCATTGTGTTTTAAGTTATTTGTGTGTGTGTGTGTGTGTGTGTATATATATATATATATATATTTTAAAAAAAACCCCAACCCAAGAAAGTTAATCTTAAACATTAGAACATGAATTTTGTTTTCTTCCATGTAAAGTCCCATAACTATGTGTTAATATATTGAACACAAAAGGAAGGTTTATTAAATTTTTTTTTAAGAGGTATTGAGCAGATATATAAATTTAACGAGAGTTTGTTTATCTAAATAGATTAATGGAAGTTAAATGATGAATACCTTGCTTTATGGAATTTACAAATTGTTTTTTTATTTTAATGCTTTGATTACTAGAGACTAGTAATAAGCTGGTTGGGGGGGTGTGATTAGTACTTAAAAGTGCATTTTTATCAATGTTTTATATCATCATTTTGCACTTGAAGTATTAATAACTCCTTAACTAAAGCATGTTTTATAATAATATATCTAATAATATAAGATACCTTTAAATGTTCATTTTAAATATAGGCCTATCACATAAATGAAAAAATTGATTGATGAATTTAAGAATTGAAATTGAAAGGACAAAGAGATGTCCAAACTTAGAAAAGAGATGTTGGTGTAGTCCAAACCGGAACAATGTTCGGTAATTGGGTCATATCTAGAGTTGTGGATCTCGGATTTAGATCTACTTTATATGGATGGAAAGGTAAGACATAGGCCTACAATTTTCATATAGAGTCCAAGATTAAAAAGGCCATTTTTAAGTCCAAATTGTAGCAACAACAAAGAAGTCCAAATCTATTCTACAACCCACATGCTGTTTAGTGTTTGGCCCATATTTGGAGTTTCAGAAGTCCAAATAACCTCTATTTCTTTTTCTAGAAAGATGAGACAATTTCCTACAACTTTCATGTTTTCAAGTGGTTGCAATTCTGATGTTATCATTGACGTTGACAAGAGAAGATAAGGACTGTCAGTAAGTCAAGAGTTGGTCACCCATTCATCAATTAGTTATCAAATCAATAGTTCCTAATTTTGGCGTATAAAAAGAGGCATTTGCTATACATTTAGGCATCTTGGTTTCCAGATCAAGATCATGCTCTTGCTTTCTCTCTTTGTATTTTTTGTATTGCTTATGTTTTGCTTTCATTAATATCAAGTTTATGCCTTTCATTTTCTTTTCTTTACATAGTTAATTGTTATCTTATTTATGTTCTTATTTTTTTATTTATTTTTCTTCCTTTCATTATATTTAGCTAAGTTTATTATATCAAGGTGAAAAGGTTACACTAATGGTGTAAGAATAAGTATAATGTAAACTCAATATGGACTTTAATGTTTGATACTAACATGTTTTGTATTTGTTATCTTATTCACTTTTTAATACTTTGCTTGTTAAATGACTAATCTAGATTTATGTTATATAACACTTAGTACAACAAATTCTTGGTACTTTCATAGCCTATACTGTATGGTATAATCGACACCTGAGTTATGAAAGAAACTTGATTTGTTGTTAACATAAGTTATAATCATGAATGCCTAATGAGATTTATAAGTATTAGCATTAATCGAATAAAATGACTAATGTAATCATGTTAATAATCTATAATCTGATTGAAACCTTCTTTGTGTGTGGTTTCCACTTGAATAATAAGAGTTTATACAATATTTGTTTGACATAACATTAGTGGATTCTCTAACCTTGACATTTATTATTATCATTGTTTAATCCTTATGTTAATCTTCCATCTCAAAGTTCTTATCAACTTTTTCTTCTTCTTTATTGCTATTATTATTATTATTACTGCTACTATTACTACTACTACTACTACTACTATTAGTTTTATTATTATTGTTATTATTGTTACTATTGTTGTTGTTATTGTTGTTATTGTATTATTGTTATCTATAATTTATACAATTAACCTCCCTATGGTTCGACCGGTCTTACCGGGTTATTTATTACTTCGACACTCCTGCACTTGGGAGAAGATATCAATTTTTTTATCATGTAAAAAATCTTATGTTTAAGGTGTGAAAATGTAAGGGATAAAATTCTTGTGCAATAATTACTTAGATTATTGAAAGTTTTAAGAAGAAAACACTTAATATTGAAAAAGTGTACTTGATGCATGAATTTGTGTGATGTAGGAGAGGCATTAATTGTGGAACCTCAAGTAAGCATGATTGAACTAGTGAGGGAATCAAATAGGTGCTTATCACCTCATCCTTTTTAATTTTTTAGGTAGTATATTAATGATGAGTTACCATGTTGCTTGATAACTTATTAGTAAAAAATTAATAAAATATTATTGTTATATTTATAATAAGAATTGTGTTGCAGTATGGTAGCTAGCCATATAAAAAGCGGATAGGATTGATATCTAATAATGGTTATATTGTATGGAAGCAAACCCCAATAAGTGGTTTAACTTATAAAATGTATTAAAGATAAGTATACATGAGTTACAATCATGGAAACCAATCATATAAATGGGGCTAGAATAGAGGTTTTTAGAAAGACATGTTAGATGCGTATTACTCATGGGAGTCAGGCACTAAAGTGGAACTTTAAATGGTTATTTCATAGAAAATGAGGGTTTGATTTCAATTTTCTTGTACCAGACACATGTTTGGAGGTAATTGTTGAATAATAATTGGTTGTATGAATGGAGACTAGGAAGATGTTAGATATACATCTTCGACATAGATGTGAGTGGATAAGGATTACGTATTGATTATGTTATTAGATCTCTAAAAGATAATTAAAAAGAATCTTAGAATAAAAATCTTTATGTTTGGAGCTACTTATTAGTGTTAGTATAAAAAGTATCATTATATATTTATGTTTTATATATAAATAGCGTCGACTAAAAGATTAAGGACTATATATTAACTGATGCTGGATATATGTTAACTACAGTTAAAAAAATTTATGCTATTATATCAGTGTTTCACTAGTTTTAATGTGTGATCAAATATTATTTATGTGGAGATGTTATAGCTTAGTAAACTAGCTTAACTCATTTAAAAAAATAATTAAAGTTTAAAAAAATCTTCAAAACTTTTAAGAATAAAGAGAAGAATTACATGGCTTTTCATTGTTCATTGCTGCTACAGTAAAGCCAAGCCTTTTTATTATATGTTAAATAATGAAGTAATTAAACTCATTTATCTAGAATCACGAAGCCAAGTGTTGATCTAATTCCCTGGGTAACTTATACATACGATGCATCCTCTTTTTCATTATTATTACTATGAAACAAGATAGTAGCTATATACATTTTATTGATGTAAAAATTATCTCAGAGGGTATAGAAAGTCTCCAAGCATTCCGATGGATATTCAACAAAACCTAATACGAAAGAGACATTGCCGATTCCTCTCTCTCCATCTATCCGGTTCTTTCCCTTCGTTTGTGTAAACGTCACCGTTCTTTGGAGCTATGCACTTGCAGGCTACCTAGGCTTTTGACCAGCATATGAGAGGAGTTCGGACGTCCACATCAAAAGATTGATTGTGGAAAGTCTGCAATATCTATAGAATACAAATATCCTTTCACAAGCTCTCAAAGTTGGAATATGAGTTTCTTAGAACCTTTCCTCTACGTATCTAATTTGTATTAAATATAGAATAGAAGGGAACTTCGTACAAGTAAAATGGCTGCTATTATTAAACTCGGTTAAAAAAAAATCTGACCAATTTTGAAGGACAATTTGGTCATTAAAAGTGAGTTGACAAAATAAAATTTGGTGTTCATGCATCTAAGCTACTAGCAAGAAGAAAATTATCCTGGCCTGCTATACTTCCTCTAAATGATCCAAGCCTCTCTTGCAACTGATCATTTGAGCCGTATAATATTGCCCCCATCCTTTTGTCTTCCTCTATTTTCTCAATTTCTCTCTCTTTCCTCTCAGGCTTGAAATAATGGATATTAGTCTCACGAGCACCGGAAAGTCCGACCAGAAGGCATGCAGTTCAGATGACCTGCAGGGTTCAAGTCATGTAAGGCCTTATGCTTGTTCTTTCTGCAGGAGAGGCTTCACAAATGCACAAGCATTAGGAGGCCACATGAATATCCATAGAAGAGATAGGGCAAAACTCAAACAAGCTTTGAACGAGAACTTTCTTTCTTTGAACATCACAAAGTCGACTGAGGAAATAAGCAGTGCGCCTGTAACCCCAAGTACTCCATCTATTGAAGATGATTGTGCTACTCCTAGAAATAAGGCTAGCGAAGAATTTCAGCAGCTACCCTTTATTGTTGATGCGAAGGTAGGCACTGATGGCAGTGAAGAAGACAAGATGGAGTTGAATCAAGCTACCTCGCAAGCAGGATTGGACCTTGAGCTTCGATTAGGGTCCGAGCCTCACGAATCATCTACAAGATCGAGTACCAGAAAGTTCTCTTGATCGTAGCGAGCAACAAGATGTTTGGGATCTAGTAAAGAGGTTTTTTTTCCTCATCCTTTCTTCATATTTTATAAGAAATCTTATCAAGGAGTCCAGTCATAAAACCAAGGGTGGTTATGTTGCTTCTTCCTTTCCCATCAATTTCCACTTTTGTGTTGTTTGACGAAGACTTTATTATAGTTCTTCTAAAGTTGTTTACTCAGGGCTTTATCCATTTGAAAAATCAAACGTTCAGTAGATTCCACTTTGCAAAGTGCTTTTTCTATAACGAACTTACTGGTGCTTCTAAACAAAATTTAATAACAATAAAAAAAAAAAAAACGAGTTTTACATCTTACATGCGAAGAACGAAACCAAGATCAAAATATTTTTATTGAGTTGTTAACTTAATTTGTTGATTTTATATTCAAATCATCGACAGCACCGTGAAATTTGTAGGTTATTGTAACCAAAACAAAAAAGATCTCAAAATAATCTGACAATTATTTGGACTTTGAAAGTTGTTCACTCAAGACAATTAAAGCATGTAGTCATTTTACAAGCTCCTCGAGCTCCAATCTTCCCTATCATATACGGAATTCTCAAAAAAAAAAAATTCTTCTGGTTTCTATGTTGGTTAGCGAAATAGATGAGGCATTTTGCATCTTAAACATGGAATGAGTTTCTCAAATTAATAAATAGATTTCTCAAATTGAACAAAATACATTGAAAATACATCGATGCTAAGTAACAGACTGTAAATATCATGATATAAAAGAGCATCGTTGGAGGACAACATAAATTTCCCTCTGCATTTTATTAAGAATTTGTAGTTAAAAATAAATATTAAAAGGACATTACACAGAAAAATATTGTCTGAATAAAATTATTAATAAAATCTCTTAATAAAAATAAAATCACGTGTAATGAATTGAATTGAATTTCATTTTCTTTTCCATTGCTTATATAATTTTGTTTTTTCTCTAAATGATTTAATTTCTAGCCTTAATTTTCTTTTAATGGGAATTTTTATGCAAGTCATATGTACTCTTAACATCATGTTAACTAAATTGATTGAAAAATCAATTCGTTGCTTATTCAAGCTAGATTCTCACAAAACTCTTAACTCGATCTTATGTGAATATTGCACAAGGATATGCTGGCTATAGGGCTGGGACTTTGTGGCGAATACCAACGTATATTGAAATCAAAAGTTTCAGTTTTGAGAAGTAGCTCTCCGAGCAAGAAATTTTCTCCAAGTAAGGTCCCAAGATAAGGCCGGGACCTATTGTCTCATCTTCTCTTCAACCTTGTTTCTGAAGGTATGAATTAATTATTCTCGAGAGAACAATGAAATTATCCGTGATGGTCTGAATCTTTAACGTTGATAAATGCGTCTGATTGAAGGCATTAAATTAGTATGGTTCAAATTTGGAAGTGATACTCTCATGTTTTTTTTTTTGGAAAATTAACATTATTAGTATCTTGTTGTGCTATGATCTGAAGTACTCTGGGAAAAGGAATTGTTTTTGAACAGCTGAGTTAAACATCAGTATTGTACACATAATGTTCTTTAGTGTGGATCAATCAGTTTAAAATATTGAAGTATGAGAAAATATTCAATTTCAATTGGGATTTGGGTGGATGATGCTCTATTGTTCAAGGCAGCCTTGTGTATTTGATGTAAAACAAAGAAGTTAAATGTGAAGCAAATGGAATAAAATCATGGAATCCAACATAGAAAGAAATGTACATTTCGTTTTAATGAATTATATCCATCTACTATTATTTATATTAAAGATTTTACCCATCCGCCTAATTTTTGTATATCAGATGTCATATGACAAAAATCTACTTGTCAAGGCATATATAAATTAAAGAAAGAAAGATACTTTAATTGATAAATTTCATTTCATTTCTTTAATATTTAATTAATTCATTATTTTATGAAACCATGTCCTCTACAATTAGAGGAATAAAGGTAATAATTTACCATATGCATTTAATTTAATATCTTTGATATATTTACGATTTTGAAAATACCCATGCTCTTTTTATATAATTTTAATACTCGAATTTGTCTCTTTTATTTGTTCTAATGTTTTGGTTACCTTTTAAATTGGTGGGCAGATATAGGGCACCAACTAACATAACTTCTTAGAAGATGAATTTGGTTTAGAAGGTACATATCATAAGAGGGCTCCATATATCGTAGAGAAGTTCAAATATTGTATGATAGCTAAAGTGTTGATTGTCAACAATTTTGCCTTCAATGTCCTACCTCGATATATTATTAATTGTTTTCTCATTAATGCCTCGCATATAAAGCCTAACAATAAGATAGCTCAAGCTTATGATGCATTCTTAGGCAAATGATAAAGAAAATATACATCAACTTGGATATTGAGCCTTATCAGTTCTTGGTTACTTTCTAAGTGAGGTATTGGTTACATTCTTCTTGTGTTGTTGCTTACTCTTTACACTAGATGTTAAAATATGTTGATGAAGGTCATTTCAATACTATTAAAACTGAAGAAAGTTTTCCCTGATGAAGAATAATACTCTATATAGAAGCTAGAGGAACTCACGATGGTGACTTTTATATATATTTAAGATTATCAATGCTAATATGATCCTATAAAACTCTTTATAAAGGAGAGTCCTAGAGTTTTCTACAGCTACAAGAATAGTTGTTATGTGCATGATGAAGAGTGGATTTGCACTCAAATTAAACTTAGGGCATGAGTTATTTGAAAATAAGACAAGTAAAGCTCAAGCATGTTGATTAAATATTTAGGTTAGTCTTCAAGCCTAGTCGTAAAGACTACTTGCATATGATCGAGAAAAAAAGAAAAAAAGGGTAACTAAAATTGAAAGACATAAGCCTAATGAACATAAGATTGAGATTCCTTATATCAAGGATGTTATAACCCATTTTTAGGTTATTTTCTAAAATTATATATTTTCTTTCCAAAATAAAAATTAAAAAATAAAATAAAGTTTGACAACGTGGAAAAAACAAGTCGATAAGGATTCCAAAAAATACATAAAAATCAAGCTATAATTTTGGATAAAATTCAAAGCTTGGTTATATCACCATTATACCCAAGACTAAAGACATAATGTAGATTCAATATCAAATTAAATGATTATTGGATAAATCTATATAAAAATTAAGTCCAACGATATAATTAAATTTTTAATATGTTAATTCGATTTAATCATGGAGTAAATTAAAATTTAATTATGTTTGAGAATTAATTTGGATCCAATTGAAGGATTTAATTAGGTGCAAAGACTTAATTATACTTTAAAAGGGTCAAATTAATTTTATTGAGGGCTAAATTAGTGAAAAATTAAGTTTAGGAGCCAAATTTGGGCTTAATTGAGAAGATTGAAATTTTAAGAGATCAAATTTTATTTTTATCAAGTCAATTGATTGAAATCAGGAGCAAATTCTACTACAAGATTTTATAGTTTTACCAACAAAAATATCCAGTCGGTATGTGATTAAAAGTTCGTCGGTAATTTATTTACCAATGTCTTCACCAACAGAATACGTCCATCGGCTTTCCGTTCGTCGGTAATACCACCGTCTGTCACTATATCAGTCAGCAACACAAGAAAAACATTTGCTGATGGTTTTACAGACAAAAAATGCATGCCAAAATTTTTTTTTACCACTTGAAATATACTGCCAGATTTATCCCGTTAGTGATAGTGTAACATACCAACAGATACATACCGTCAATAAAGTTCTCGGTGAGCATTTGAAATACCAATCGAAGGTGTCCGTTTGTATATCCATCGACCATTGTGGTAGGTACTGTAAAATACAAACGGATACAGTTCGTCGGTAAAGTTGTCGATGAGTGTGAAATACCAACCGAATATATCTCTCTGCAAATTCATCGATGAATGTGGCAGATATAGTCAAATGCCGATAGATATATTCTGTAAGCAAAACCCTCTGTGATTATTTTTAAATACGTTTTTGAAAAATTATTTAGAATACATAATAATAAATTATATAAATTGATGGTAATAAAAAATAAAATTTTTATTAAACATCAAAAACCAAAAAAAAAGTTAAATAATATTCATTATAAACTGAATGTGTTTCAAAAAATATATTAAATGAACTATTAAAGGTAAATAATATTTATTATAAATTAATATAAAGGTGGAGCTGCAGAAGAAGGAGGAGGAGGTTGGTGATTATATGGCCAAAAAGGATGAGGCGCACATGTTTGACAACTCTATGATACCTGTCATAACTGAATTTTTAAACAAATAATAAAAATTGAATATAATTTTGTCAATTTAATTAAATTTAGAAATTAAAAAATTAATAAGTTTAGAAATTTAATTAAATTCTGGATTAGTTTAATTAATGAAATCAGGAGCTTAATTGAAGAATAAATAAGTTTGTGGACTTAATTAAAACTTTGATTTAATTAATTAAAGGAATCAGGGGTTTAATTGAAGAAATACCAAAGTTTGGAGCTGATTCAAGGGAAAATGTTAGAAAATTAAAATTTAAGGATCAAATTGAATATTCCAGAAATCCAGGACTGTTGTGTAAATGGTGCTATAACTCAGGGATTCAATTGAATTTAATCCAAGGGCACAATTAGAAATCAATTATTACTGATTAGGATCCCAATTTTTTAGTTTAAATTGTTCAAGGACCCAATTGAAAAACAGTCATGTCCAAAGACACAACGACACCATTTTGGAAGCATTGTTCGTCATCTCCTACTTTTTGTGCGGATGAAGCCAGTTTAACAGGGAAAATCCAATAATCACAACCACTATACCCACGATGCCCATGATCTCTTGCCGCCAAGATGCTCGTCGTTTCTGGATGCAGAGACACAAGACCTTCTCTAGCATTATAAAAGCCAGAGAAAGGCCTCGGTGAGACAGGAGGAGATTGGACCAAAAACGGGGAAGAAAAACCAAAGAAAAAGCCAACGTACCCTGGCTTCACCTTCTTTTTTCAGAGCACAAATTCACAG